AGGGATAGGGTGTCTATAGGGAACTAGGAAGCAACGCTATGGGTCCATGTGTAAGAGCAGTCGATCACACGGTTCTTTGAAAAGGTGGAGGGTTGCGCTGAAAGGGGTAATTTAGCCCACAAAGTGACTGGTGCGTAACGTGTGGTACCGGACGGACAAAATATTATTCAGGGACAAAGCATTGTTGGTATTCACACTGGAAGGGCCGCCGGCACGTGACCAGCGCAGACCATAACTGTCAAATGTCAGTCAGAAAGTCGGCTGGAATATTTTGCTGGGGGACGGATTTACTAACGCATATACGATATCGTGTGAGGTTTGTTTACATCGCAAATCAAGCTACTCTCTCGTTTCTCTTAACAAGTACATTTCCAAAACACTTCCGAGGTCGTAAACACATCTACGCTTAAGAGGCATTAGCGAGTGCCCGAAACCACTCTAACGCTCATCGCGGCGACCCTCATCCGCTCATATCAGCCTCATAAATGACTTCATGAGTGTGCAAACATGACTTTTCTTTCGGGGAAATTGTGGTAATAAAATGAGCCAATCTTTCTGTCAAGTGTCGAGCTAAAACACCGTAAGCTTGGAAATTGCAATAAAAATATTAATAAAATTTCCAATTTATGAAAATCGAGATATAAAGGACATAAAAGATTTCACAAACCTACAGTTCAGCAAAAAAAAAAAAAAAAAAAAAAAATGCTGTTACGAATAAGATCCCCACGAAAGTCGTCACAACTTGCATCTCAGATTGCATGCTAAGGAACATGCAAACTGTGCTTTTCCAACAGCTGATAATATCTACACTCTCAAGCACAAACATAAAATAAACTAATACTGAATAATGTAAATTCATGCCTTCATGTACCTATTCAAACAGACAGTGAGGCAGATAGATAGATACAAAAAAATTACAGATATATGAATATTCGGACGAAACTAAACACGAGAAAAAACATGACCGTCACTTCAAATGTCAAAAGAAAAAGTGTTGCTCTGCCTTTTCATCCACATTTCTTGTATCCACCGCTATACAATTTTTATCCTTCTCTTCCATCATCGCTTCCTCCACCCTTTCTTCGCTTCCTCCCTTTATCCCTTCCTTCGCCTCTTCCCTTTAACCCTTCCTTCGCCTCTTCCCTTTATCCCCCTCTCATCCATCACCCAGCGCGTCTTGCAGACTTCTTCAAGGGACCTCTCTCACTGGCTATTCGTTCCGTTCAATATTTTTTCTCTTTCCGCTTTCATTTTCGTAGATATTTTGATATTATATATATCTTTTTTTTTCAAGTGAAAGAATATAAAACAAATGGGCAACATTAAAAACTCACCCTCAACGAGCCTCATCATAACTCATGAAAATATGTGTATGAGTGAGCGCGCGCGCGTGTGTGTGTGTGTGTGTGTGTGTGTGTGTGTGTGTGTGTATGTGTGTGTATGTGTGTGTGTGTGTGTGTGTGTGTGTGTGTGTGTGTGTGTGTGTGTGTATGTGTGTGTGTGTGTGTGTGTGTGTGTGTGTATGTGTGTGTGTGTATGTTTGCTTGTGCGTGAGCGTGTGCGTGCGCGTGCGTGTTTGTTTCATCAACTGATTGACAATCCCCCTTAAGGTCTTCTAATATCTTGACCTTATTTCGTGTTTTATACGTACTTTATATACCGCCACTAAAAATCATACAACTATAATTTTCCTCAGAAATATAGTAAATTGTTAAAGGAAGGTACGTTGTCAGCGGATTCATTAGTAATTAGTTAGAAACACATTTCTTATTATCAGATATGGAGATCAGTGATCTTACATTGATTAATATTTTTTCTTGATTAGTAGTTTCCTCTATTCCAGACACTTTTCTTAATTAGTAAGACATTATTTTTTGTTTTATTGCCTCAGGTATATTTTCTTAAGGTTTCGCTTAAATGAAATAATCGTAATTGTCTGTGTTGGGGGGGGGGGGAGTCCATAAGTTGTATGATGGCTGAAGGATATAAAAAATAGATTAAAAAAATATATACAGATAAACTAAAGATAAAGAAAATAGAAATAGTAGGTTGTTGAATATGTATGTATAAAAAAGTCATTGTATATCACTACCTGAAAGAGGGGATGGTCACAAAGAGCTCCTCTATATTGCTTTTGTTGAAAAGCATCTGCAGAAATGCTTGTTGGAAACCATCTTTAGAAATGACTGACCTAATGCAGTTGTTGAAATGGGAGGAAACATATATGCTGGTGGCCGGCTGCTCTGGCTGCAATTGCACCACAGGAGATTGCGTAGCGGCGGTTCATTACTGACGGTGTTGCAATTGCACTCCTGTGGGACTTTCTCCGAGTTCTCCCATTTGCAAATGCATCACAACCTCAAGATGACCGCTTTGCCACGGGGGGGGGGGGGGGCGTGCTTTGAACTAGGAGCTTAGTGGGGCTTATACACTATATTTTTTTGTACGAACTTGTTAGAGGGTGAGTTCCTTTGGACCCAGAGCGTGTTTTGGTCACGTACAGCTTTATTTATCTGTTTTCTAATGATTGCTTTAAGGTGGCTCATAGGGAATGTTAAGCGCGGATAGATGTTCGCATAAATGGTGGTTGATTACGCTGCACAATTTGTTTCTTCATTCCCTACTCTGTTAATGTGACTGTGAACAGATGGTAATGGAGGTGATAAGGTAGAGATTGTCAGTCGATTTTTTTCGTTAAAGGTGTCTGTGGTGAAAACATGCGATATTGTTTTGTGCATTGCAAAGAGCTCAGTCTATAGCGTGGAGTAGTTGTCAGGTAGTCTCTAGGATGCCCAGAAGTGTGTACATTGGACTGCCGGGCCCGAGTGCCCACTCTCTCTGAGACAAGCAGCCCATCAGTACAGAACTACTAAAGAACTGGTGAATGGTAAAGCGCTCAACTGTGCTGATACTATGGCAGAATAACCCACAATGCACAAATTAGGGTTAGTAAATATGAGACAATAGTTTCGAAATCATCCTGGATTTCTGAAGAGGGATTTCGATTTCTCATTTTCGATAAATCTCGTTTGTGTATTGTTGTTTTTTCTACCAATGGGATTGGTTGACGGTCTGTTGTTTATGACGGAGGCTATGTTCTGCTAAGGTGGTATTTGGAATAAAGGTATTGGGGAGAAAAGGGTTTGAGATAAGCCATTATGCGGTCTTTGAAAATGTTGGCTTTAAGGAAGATGAGGCCACTATTCACACACCAAGCCGTGGTTTGTTTTATTTTTAGCTTCGAACGAGCAGAGAGGTTAGATTCTGCCCTGAAGTTGCCAAGTTCCTTCCAGCGAGGAACATGGGAGAAAAATCCTTGTGGCTTCGTTTTGTAGTGTTTCAGATCAGAGAAATTCTGTTATGAATAATTAAAGGAGTGATGAAGCTGACTAATCTATTATGTATTCATCTGTTAATCATACCCGATTCGTGTGCATTAGTATCAGTGAATCATCTCATTTTGTCGGATTGTAGGTTAGGCCTTTGGGTTTCTACAGAAAATAATATATTCTCTGCTTTTCCGATCATATATTATACAACCTTCATATCCGTGGTGGCGCGTTATCACTTTTATTATTACATATTACTTATTATTTCGTTGTGCTTTGATTGCTTGTGCCTTTATATATTTTTCTTCAGGTCTTTATAGAGGGGATCCCTCGATACTCTGATATAAAAGCTCTCGTGTTGTATATTCTTTTCCATTTTTTTTTACTGATTTTCCTGTCCATTCTTCATAAGAATACTTGGTTCTGAAATCCATGTCGGGTATATTTTCGAATTTATCAGAAAATTGAAGTTTAATTCTTGACTCACGGTTTATGCTAACCAGATCGCAGTTTGAAAGGCCTTAGAATATTCTAAACAATTTACATCCACATCAATATGCGCTAATGAACACACAGACACACACACAGACACACACACACACACACACACACACACACACACACACACACACACACACACACACACACACACACACACACACACACACACACACACACACACACACACAGATGGATAGATAGGAAGACAGATATAGATCAAAAGATATATCACATGAATAAATCTATGCATTCCGAAATGTGTTTATTAAATATCTTGTCAGCTTTAAAGTATCTAAAATACAAACATCAGTAAGTTCATGATAATATACCATGAGACTGTTGTGCATTAATAGGAATATATCGATGTTCACATTAGATGACTTAAAATCAATAACTTAAAATGTCTGATACATGTCTTTTAAGGAAACTGAGAACAAAATATCTTCCGACATTCCATTATGTCTTGAGTAAAATGAAAACCGATATTTTGCAACAGTGCAATATTAAAGAATGCAGATAGGCTGTTATTTTGCTATATAACCGTTAGCATTTTCTATTTGAATTATTGCTCCGAAATCTAAAGAAATTGCATGTGTCTGATATGCTTTTTGGTATGGATTATATTTAAATGTGTCTATATTTGGTTTAAAATTGAGATTAAAAGGCAACAGCTCTAACTGTAACCGAAGGCCTATGTGTTATGTGGTATTTTTATTAATACTTTCTCAAATAAATCAGTAAACTAATTCGAAACAGACTCCATGCACACCAAACGTCTATAATGTGTCACTCAGCGGCTACCATAATGACCATGTATAAAAAGATAAATAGATAAATAAAGGAAAAACTAGTAACTAATTTAAAAGTCGTGCGACCTGCGTTCGTATCCTTGAACGAACCTAACTATAAATCGACGGCGAGCCCTTATCACAAAGAATTTACTCAATAATACCTCCGTTATCTTTCCAATTATCTATAGCATGTATTTACATTACAATAAATACAAATACAAGGGAGCACACAAAGTAGAAAACGATAACCGATTTAAAAGTCGGAAATACCAAAAGACCGTATCCCTCCGAGTACATCTCAGCAACCAATCACAGTCGCCGGAGGCCGAGAGCTGCGCGCTGATTGGCCGACGCAACTTAAAGCCATCACAACCTCAGTTCAAACGGACGAAGCGAGAACGGCGTCCAGCGTCCACCTTATTTTATTTGTGATTTTTGTATGTTTTAGTGTTTAAAAATGGCCAGTCCGGCGATGCAAAGGAAGAACCCCCGTAAGGGATCAAGCGGACAAAATATCAAGGTGTTTTTAAGATGCAGGTAAGAGAAATAAGAGGTTTTAATAGTCCATGTTTCAAAACTTCAATCGGATGTGGCGAGAATTTCAGTATTTACCTTCTATGAACACTTCACTAAATGTAAATATGCCTTAATTAAAATAAGTACAATCAACATTTAGAATTAATGGACAAGAAATTATAAGTATTTTATTCTTTAATCTTTGTGTTTCTTTAAATTATAAATATTCATGAGGCCTCGCAGCCTATAGTAATTAAGGAAGTAGATTTGTAAGTAAATTCTTTATCGGAAACACCATATTATAAGTAAACTGAAACATGTAGATTTCCTTCACTAATTCACTGCTAAGTAGGCCTATATAAACTCCATTAAACAGGAAATAGTAATGTCAGCTTCTCAGCCAAGGACCAGGAAGAGTAGGCTTGGGTTGTAATTTATTTTATTATTTGTTAATCTTGGATCTATATTTATTTTAGGTCTCTTTAGGTTGAGATTTGAATTTTGATCTCGTTATGTTTGAGTTTAATTTTTTTGGGTCGAATCTGTAGCATGTCTGATTAGCTGCGGTTTCAGGCGAGGAGATGGATTGTTCCAAAGGAGAAGAATATGCCAGATTAATTTCCTTGTCGTTTATATATATTCGTGATGTTTCCTTTTCTTAAATATTGATAATTATGGTCCATTATGGCAAAGGCTATTGACCCTGTTACGCACAGTCTGGCAAGATACTGCTTATAAACTTCCCTGGTGCTTCTACCTCTCAGGCTTGCCCACTTCTGGCTGCTAAACCTCCAATCTTAGTTACTTCAGGACACACCCCTGGTCTAGGCACACTCAAGCTCAAGTTAAAACATTCTGTATTAAACTAACTTGTTGATCATCATTGGCCATGAAAGTTTAGGAATATGTAGGCTAGTAATGCTTGTAGGTCTTCCACCCATAGTTCCCCAACATTGGCCGGGTTGATAGGGTAATAATCCCTGACCGGAGTGGTTCTAGAGTTGTATGAGTTAACTGGAACCTAGGTTTAAAGAACCAGTCCTGGCTATATCATGCTAGAAAGTATTTGTTAGCGGTTCATAGCCGATGATTGCTTGCCCGTGACCCATTATATTGTTAGATTTCAGATTAGAATCCCTATATTGCAGTATCACAGATAGTTTCAATTAGAGTCAGTATGATAAGTTTGTATGAATAGTACCATTTTGAAAGCTACTGAACATTTTATAAAATATAATTTGTATATGTATGGGGATTAGAGAATGAGAGGAATCCATTGATACCACTAATGTTGTCATCAGGCATTTGATTTTATAAAATCTAAATTAACTAGTAGGAAATTTGTTTATGCTCTTACTTTGGTGTGAGGATATATTTATGAAGAAATTGGCACATGTCATTAACAAAGTAAATTGTTTATTAGCTGCTATTTAGATTTTTATAGTTTGTATCTCTAAAGGTTGTTGATGCTAAATGTATCTTATCAGTTCCCTGTTAACACACAAATTTCAAAATTTAGATAAATAGAAGGTTTCCCTTGCAACTGCAGTTGCAGTTTATCATTCAGTTTCATTTACTATTGTATTTTTTATATCTTGTATTAAACTGTATGGTATATTTGATATAGTTCATACTACAGATAAAAGGATCTTGAGTTTCTTTAATGGGGAGATGTGAATCTTCTCATAGATATGTTTTAAAAGTAGCAAAACAGTACATTACAACAGTGTTAATCACCTTTTGCAGGCCTATGAACAGTATGGAGAAGAATTCAAAGTCATTTAGTGCAGTGGAGTGCCAACAGAACCGAGAAATTATTGTGAGGGAACGACCCCTGGATAAGTTCACAAAGACCTTCACGTTTGATAGAGTCTTTGGACCGGAATCAAAACAGGTGAGTTTTTTGTGTGTTTGATGTCCTTTTTTTAAATGAGGAGTATTCTGAAATTTTATATGTATGTGAAATTAAAGTCTCAATTTAGTATTGTTTATAGTTATCTATAAAGAGGTTGTATGCTTTAGTTCAAAAGTTTTGTTATGTTTCAGATCGATGTCTACAAAGCAGTGGCAAAAAATTCTGTGGAAGAAGTGTTAAGTGGATTCAACTGCACAATCTTTGCTTATGGACAAACTGGCACAGGAAAGACCTTTACCATGGAGGGAGAGCACACCTCCGAACTCATGTCTTGGGATGAGGTACGTTCTTTTCTCTCAGTTTAGGAACAAGAATGGGCCTTGTAATGTTAATCTTATGGTGTATAGTATCTTTTGTGGTGCTTGAGCTCTCTGAATTGATTCTACACTTTTCTTTAACTATACTGGGTAATGATTAGTTCTTTTTACCTCTCATGTTGAGCTCTGTAGACCTTCTCACATTGCTTTTTACTTTAAAGGTATAACCTGTACTAATCAAACCCAGTATATGTCAAGATAACTAAAATATTATCAGGCAATGGTTGGTTAGCTGTTACAAAAACATGGAATATGACATAGTAGTGATGTATACAGTTTACTCAGTGTAAGGTATTGATAATGATGGAAATCTTCGAAATAGCTTTGCACGAGGGCAGTAGTGAATACTTGACCAGGAGCGAGGCAAGTTTTTTTTTACTTAATAAGCTATATATGGTTTTGATTGTTATCAAATCTGTTTCAGGATCCATTGTTAGGTATCATTCCTCGCTGTGTGAATCACCTCTTTGACGAGCTGCGCATTCAGAAAGTGGAGTTCACAATGAGGGTTTCATTTCTTGAACTGTACAATGAGGAACTGTTTGACTTGCTGTCAGCTCATGATGATATGTCGAAACTGAGGTACGTAGTTTTACCCGTCCTTCTTAGAATCAAAACCAGAGAATTTTATTTTTATCATTAACCGTGGTAACTTGGGAATATGATATCAACATGGTAGTGTAGGAAGTTTAAAATACTAAGTAATACTTTCCTCTCATTATCAAGGTGAATCTAAACTGTAATCTGGTACTAGGTATCTTATCCACTGTTTCTTCTTTCTTTCTAAACCATAATTTCATGTCATGTATTTTGGAGAAATATCAAATGTTAACAAGAGATAATATGGCAAAGTGCCTTTTCTCTCTATCTTTTTTTTCTTTTTCCTCCAGAGGCTTACTAGATAATAAATCTTATTCCTAAAGAGATAAATCTTTTAACATGTAATTAAGATGATCTTGATTATGCAGCCCAAAAATACTGATTAGACATAAATTGTAAACAACTTCTATCTGCCTTTGTGTGTCTGTCTGTCTGTCTGTGTGTAAAATATTTGTATTTGATTTTTCTTTTTTCTTTTTTTCCCTTTTCTTTTTCTTTTTTTCCTTTTCTCCTTTTCTTTTTCTTTTTTCTTTTTTTCTTTTTCTTTCTTTTTTTCTTTTTTATATACTAGGTTGAGACACTTTTCTAAGTCTATAAATGTCCTAGGTACCAATTTATTTTCCAAGGATTATGTACAATAGAATTGGCTGAATATATGTTAATGGGCCAAGTAATAATGAATATTTGAGAGGGCATAGTTTTACACTAGTTTTGTCATTTACTTCCATCAATTTGATATGATAAGAGATTTTTCTTAGATTATTTACTATGGCTTTGCTAGTAACACCAAATGGAATTACTTGATAAAATATATACTTTAATAATTCCAGATTGTATGAAGACTCCTCTCGAAAGGGATCATGCATTATACAAGGTCTAGAAGAGGTTCTTGTTCGCTCTAAGAGTGATGTCTACAGTGTATTGGAAAAGGGGTCGGCCAAACGCCAGACTGCAGCTACCCTGATGAACGCACATTCCAGTCGCTCACACACCGTTTTTACTGTCACTATTCACATCAAAGAGAACACAGTTGATGGTGATGAACTTTTGAAGGTGGGTTAACTGGTTTGCCACCCAATGCTAGTATTTATGCTCTAATAATTGTATCTAAATTGTAAATAGATAGCTTTCTTTTAGGATATATAGTATTCTGCATTTTATTATTAGATTGATATTTTAATGGTTTAAGTTGTACAGATTTCTCTACTTTTGATAGTTTAGAAATGATCGTGTTAGGTTGATAATTTTGGTGTTAGTTTCAGTTTGTGTTGAGATTTCTCCACCCATGATGTGGAAGTATTATTAGGTTCCAGATTTCATGCTTGTATGTATTATGCATCCTTTTTGATGGTATGATTTTATTTTAAAACATACCCAGTGTTATCTTGACATAAGCTAAGGGTTTTTTTTATCTTTCATATTCAACAGACTGGCAAACTCCACTTGGTTGACTTGGCTGGGTCAGAAAATATTGGCCGTTCTGGGGCAGTTGACAAACGTGCACGTGAGGCTGGCAACATCAATATGTCTCTGCTCACTCTAGGGCGTGTGATCACAGCTTTGGTGGAGAAGGCTCCTCATGTACCTTACAGGTGAGTTTTTATTTTGGATTGGGTTGGTTTCTTGTTTGTTCAATGAATTGGATACTACTATTGCATACAATAGGCTAAATGTATTTTTTTCTATGATTTAGGGTATATATGTATATATAACCCTTTGGATCTGGGTGTCTTGCTTTGGTACTTTGAAGAAAATCCGGACATTAGGCTTACTAGAGTGGTGACTCTTCCTGGATGTGTGGCTCGCATGTGATGTCAAGACTCCTTGCCTCCTGGTTTCCTGGTGTAAATATTGCTGGAGCCTCTCCCTGAAGGCCTACTGAGTCAATTTACCTCAAAATTGTGCACTCATGGCAAGATTTCCTGGTCGCTTGGCAACAGTTCCCAGTGTGAGGTGTTCAGTCACCCTGGCCCTTAACAAAAATTTCACGATGGCTCCTTTCACCCACCCTACAGCCAGATTTTTCCATGGCGAGATAGCACTGGCACCTGGATCAAATGGTTGATTAAACGCTTTTTAGATTCTCAAATTTAACATGGAGAATTCTTTTAGCCACCTATATATTCTGTTTAATTCTTTTTCATAGATATTTAGTTTTACCTTCATTATTTTAACCTTTTTCAGGGAGTCAAAACTAACTCGTCTGCTACAGGATGCTTTGGGAGGCCGCACAAAGACTTCCATCATTGCAACCATCTCTCCTGCATCCATTAACTTGGAAGAAACCCTGTCCACCCTGGATTATGCTCACAGGGCCAAGAACATCCAGAACAAGCCAGAGGTCAACCAGAAACTCAACAAGAAGGAACTCATTGGGGTGAGTGCGGCATTTGACAGTAGAAAGAATGTGTTAACAAGTGTTTGAGTGAAGGACAGTTCAGTAATATGCAAATTCAGGAAAGGAAAGTCATAGTTTAATGGATAGTTTCTGATGCATCTGAAATTTATTGGGTCATAATGTGTACCAAGGAGACCTGTGTCTATAAATGAAAAGCAAGGTTAGCACAAAATTGGGACCCAGTTTAGTCTACTTCCCCTGCCTCCTTTGTTTTATGTGTCAAAAGTGCATTTGATCACTTGAATGTAGTTTATATATTATATATATATATATAGATATATATATATTATATATAGATATAGATATAGATATAGATATATATATATATATATATATATATATATATATATATATTATATATATATATATGTATATATAACCCTTTGGATCTGGGTGTCTTGCTTTGGTACTTTGAAGAAAATCCGGACATTAGGCTTACTAGAGTGGTGACTCTTCCTGGATGTGTGGCTCGCATGTGATGTCAAGACTCCTTGCCTCCTGGTTTCCTGGTGTAAATATTGCTGGAGCTCTTCCTGAAGGCCTACTGAGTCAATTTACCTCAAAATTGTACACTCATGGCAAGATTTCCTGGTCGCTTGGCAACAGTTTCCCAGTGTGAGGTGTTCAGTCACCCTGGCCCTTAACAAAAATTTCACGATGGCTCCTTTCACCCACCCTACAGCCAGATTTTTCCATGGCGAGATAGCACTGGCACCTGGATCAAATGGTTGATTAAACGCTTTTTAGATTCTCAAATTTAACATGGAGAATTCTTTTAGCCACCTATATATTCTGTTTAATTCTTTTTCATAGATATTTAGTTTTACCTTCATTATTTTAACCTTTTTCAGGGAGTCAAAACTAACTCGTCTGCTACAGGATGCTTTGGGAGGCCGCACAAAGACTTCCATCATTGCAACCATCTCTCCTGCATCCATTAACTTGGAAGAAACCCTGTCCACCCTGGATTATGCTCACAGGGCCAAGAACATCCAGAACAAGCCAGAGGTCAACCAGAAACTCAACAAGAAGGAACTCATTGGGGTGAGTGCGGCATTTGGCAGTAGAAAGAATGTGTTAACAAGTGTTTGAGTGAAGGACAGTTCAGTAATATGCAAATTCAGGAAAGGAAAGTCATAGTTTAATGGATAGTTTCTGATGCATCTGAAATTTATTGGGTCATAATGTGTACCAAGGAGACCGTGTCTATAAATGAAAAGCAAGGTTAGCACAAAAATTGGGACCCAGTTTAGTCTACTTCCCCTGCCTCCTTTGTTTTATGTGTCAAAAGTGCATTTGATCACTTGAATGTAGTTTATATATTATATACAAATAAGTGTATGTGTATGTATATAGGTGTAAATATATGTGTGTGTAGATGTATATGTATATTCATATGCATTTTATATATATGTATATATAACCCTTTGGATCTGGGTGTCTTGCTTTGGTACTTTGAAGAAAATCCGGACATTAGGCTTACTAGAGTGGTGACTCTTCCTGGATGTGTGGCTCGCATGTGATGTCAAGACTCCTTGCCTCCTGGTTTCCTGGTGTAAATATTGCTGGAGCTCTCCCTGAAGGCCTACTGAGTCAATTTACCTCAAAATTGTGCACTCATGGCAAGATTTCCTGGTCACTTGGCAATTCCCAGTGTGAGGTGTTCAGTCACCCTGGCCCTTAACAAAAATTTCACGATGGCTCCTTTCACCCACCCTACAGCCAGATTTTTCCATGGCGAGATAGCACTGGCACCTGGATCAAATGGTTGATTAAACGCTTTTTAGATTCTCAAATTTAACATGGAGAATTCTTTTAGCCACCTATATATTCTGTTTAATTCTTTTTCATAGATATTTAGTTTTACCTTCATTATTTTAACCTTTTTCAGGGAGTCAAAACTAACTCGTCTGCTACAGGATGCTTTGGGAGGAGATTGAACGCCTGCGCCGTGACCTAATGGCCATGAGGGAAAAGAACGGAGTGTACCTGGCCAATGAGAACTACCAGGAGATGATTACAACCATGGAGACACAGGCACAAGAAATCACAGAGAAAATCAGCCACATTCGGGCCTTGGAGGAGGAGCTAGAGAAGAAGACTGTGAGTTTGCAATTAGTAGACTGTTGAATAGGTGTTGCAATATTGCTGCATGGCAGAATGTTTTATTTCTTATTTTTTATTTATACTTTTTTTTCCCCCTTTTTTATTCTTTTTTTTTTATTTATTTTATTTTCTAATTATTGTTATTACTTATTTATTTTTATATATTTTTTTTAATCTATTTTTTATTTATCTATTTATTTTTTATTCTATTTTTTATTTATTTATTTATTTATTATTCTATTTTTTTTATTTATTTTATTATTATTTATTTATTTTATTTATTTATTTATTTATTTATTTTATTTTATTTTTTTTTTTTTGAGAGAGTGAGTGAGTATGGTAAGCTAAAAGATCAATAATGGTATTGCTATTTACAGGATCTGTTTACGGAAGTATCTAGTAAGCTTGAGGAAACGCAGGAAAAGCTTGATACAACCAAGACTACTCTGTCATGTACTCAGAAGCTGTTGCATGACACAGCCCAAAAGCTGGATGAGCAGAAGTAAGCATATACAGAAATTTAAAATATAATTTAGTATTGGTAAAATATAAGAGTGTTTAGAGTTAGATGTGTGTGTGTGTGTGTGTGTATATATATATATATATATATATATATATATATATATATATATATATATATATATATATATATATATATATATTTTTTTTTTTTTTTTTTTTTTTTTTTTTTTTTTTTTTTTTCTGTGACTTCCATAAGAACTGGTTATAATTTCTTTTATATTGTGGAATTTTGTAGTCGGTATACATTTATTATCTTGAAAGGGTTGAAAAGCTGATATAGAAATGCCAAACTACCATGGATATAACTATGTATATTTATTGTGGCACAAATTTACAAGCATACTGATATAATAATGTGTTTTTTGTGTTCCAGGTATATAGTAACAGAACAGGGCAAAACAGAGGAGAAGCTGAAGAATCAAGGGAAAGCCCTAATTAACCATGCATCTTTAACGACTGGCGACCTCTCCAAGCTCTACGACAAACTGGATCGTAAGAAGTGAGTCCACTTACCCCCTCGAGCGTTGTGGCTGTATCGTGCCAGTTCGAAGAGCGGCTTTTAGATTTTTGCGTGCCTTTTGTATGCCTCGTATTTTTTTTAGATGCCGCCATTAGCTCTTGGTGTTTTTTAGTTTTGTAATGTTTCAAAGAAATATTCCAAAGTTTTGTCCATGTTTCGTCCCAGTAAAAATAACAAGACTGAAATTCTTGTGAATGGTGTTTAAAGTTTACAAATTTTTACTCTTGAAAATCCTAGAGCAGATCATGCAGAGATGACCAGAGTTAGGCAGCCATATTACTACACCAAGGCTTTCAAATATGGATCTGTTATTACATGATTAATTATCTTGGTAACAAGTTTAAAACTGTTTTGTATATGTGCTTGCAATGTTCATATATATATATATATATATATATATATATATATATATATATATATATATATATATATATATATATATATATATATATATATATTTGTGTGTATGTATGTATGTATTAAAGGTATTTAAACAAGTCTGCTAAAAACATTCCATATACTGTACAGCATTAGTATTATATCATTGAACATTATCTCCATTTATTTATCACCCAATTATTCTCTCATCTATGATTTCATTGTTCCTTATTTTTTTGTTACTGTGAATAATATTCTATAATCCTTTCCACCATTCCAGAAATGTTGACGAAAAGAACACAGAAATTACCAAGAGCTTCCAGCAGACATATCTAGAGCATGTGGAAACCATGAAGACCTCCCTCACAGCTGCTGTAACACAGCAAAAGGAAGCTGTCCAAAACATTTCATCTCAGTTCGGTAAGGGAAAATTGCCGTTAGCCTGTGGTAGTTACATGACCACTGGTAGTATATACTGTGCTAGACTGATGTCCATTTAGATACAACTCTTTCTTTAATATTTCTATAACAAACAATTTGTCAAATTGCCTATATGACCATACAAGGGACATTCCAAAAAGTTTTGACACCAGGATAATAAGAGTGAAAAATGTGTGTCTAGAAATTTATTGCTGATATCCATCATTAGTTTAAACCCTTTTTGATCTGTTATTCATTTGATAATACATTCAGAGTACTTAGAAATAATTCTAATATTTGTGAGGGAAAAACAAAAGTCACACTCCCTTTCAGTATTGATATATCTTCTCTTAACAAGTTAATGGAGTTCTTGTTCTGATTTTTATATACCAGTATGTGCATTTTTATATCCATATCTGTATTGATATAATATATTTGTTTCAGATGGTTCTGTGAAGAAATGTAAGAAGGAGGTCCTTGAAATCAGTTCCTACTTAAGGACCATTGCCAGGAGCCAAGATGAGCTGGTCAAGAACCTCCATGAACTGTTCAAGGGGAAGGTATGTATTTAAACCATCAAATACACACCATGTCTTTTTTTTATGAATTGCCATTATACAAAGATTAATCCACAAATGCTAAATCACCAATTAGTCATTTTATTGCTCTCAGTTTTATTAATAGGACTATGATAACCATAAAATGAATGATAAGATTACCAAATTGGTATTACTAGCATTAGAAAGAAAAATCTAGAAAGTCAAGGAAAGAGGAAATCAGATCAGGCCACGTAGCCCTACTAGTTGACTTGTTGGTGACTGGGCACTTGTATATACAAACAAAATTCACAAAAGAAAACTATATTTGACAGTACATGTACCCAGCAGCCATAGGTTAAAGCAAAAAAAAAACACAACTTGTTGCTTTTTCTAATTTGAAAGTAGTAGGTTATATTGGCAACCATACATACAATTGTGACATTTTACTTCTGTTTTTCAAATTTATCAGACTCCTATCCAAAATGAGTTGATCTGTATTTGCATCGTCCTGTATGCTCTGTTTAGATATTTTACAAACTGTTTATTTGACAGGCACAGGCTGATGTGGCAGGTACAAAGGAAATGGTGGACCTGATTGAAGGACAGTGTGCTGAACAGGAGCAACAACTCAACACTTTCCAGAAGGAACAAGTGCTACCTGCACTGGAGAAGATAGCCTCCTTGATTTCCTCTCATGCCACTACCATCACTGACTTGTCTGATATGCTGAGTAATAAGGTGGGTTCTATAGTGATTCATTTGTTTAGTATTATGTAGGTCTACTTTGTAATGAAAGAACCATTAGATTTTCTTTCTCTCTTTCTCCCCCCCCCCTTTTTTTTTCTTCTTTCTTTCTTCTTTCTTCTTCTTCTTCTTTTTCTTTTTCTTCTTCTTCTTTTTAAGCAGCCAATATAGCCTTATCTTGGGATAACGTATTTTGCCCATTGGCCTTCTTTATTTATATTCAGGATTTGTGGCTTTGTAAGAAATATAAATTCAGAACTACCTTATGAATTAAATAATGTACATATATATATTTTTTTACAGTTGAATGAATTGCACTCAGAATGTGAGAAGAGTCACCAGAACCAAGAAAAAATGGCCTCTGAGTTTGAAGAACAAATGAGCACACATTTAGAGGCACACGCTGCTCGCACTGCTGCCTGCCTCGACAATGCCAATACACTGCGCAGCAATGTTGATTCTAAGGCTGAGGTAAGGGATACATTCTCTTTGTTGTGATGCAAATGTTATCCCATTGAACCATATCAGGTGCCTGTTGATAAGATAAGTAGTAGGTATTATATGATTTAATTTTTTTTTTTTTTTTTTTTTTTTTTTTTTTTTTTTTTCTTTTGCAGCTCGTTGCATCCAAGATCAGCAGTTTGGAAACCCAGCTTGAAGATCTGAAGCAAATCAGCAAGGAGCTCACATCTTCAGCCTCAGCTGGTCTGTCTAATATTTCCTCAGATCTTGGAATGCTGAAGGAAGAGACTCAGACTGCTAATGACAGTGTGAAGACATTGGTTAAGAGTCTTGGTGAGAACAGCCACTCTCACATCACTGCTGCTCATTCTCTGAAGACTGAAACTCAGTCTGCAATGGAGAAAATGGTCCATGAGGTGAGTTTGTTTTTATTTACTTTTATTTTTAATATGTATATGATATTGAACTTGAGGCACTATAAAAGGAGTATAATTATAAGCCTTGTAAGGGGCATCATATCAAACTTTTTGAGGAAGGGAAATATGATTAACTTCAAATCATTTTAATTTTGTTTTTGATATCTTCTTCAGCTGGACACTAATGTGCAACACATGGGAGAAGAACGATGCAGCCTAGAATCTCTGATGGCACAGTATTCTGCCAGTGCTTCAGTGTCAATCTGTGAGAACCGTAATATTGCTGAGAAGCACATCAAAGCAGTGGAGACCAAATCTGCACAGGATATTTCAGACCATGCTGCTAAGATTGAGGTATGAATATGGATATTTTTAACCTACTGACTATGGGTTTAAGTACTGTCCCCTGTTGTTATTTGTGAATTTTGTTATATACTGATGGCTCTACTTGTGCTCAGCCACCTAGGAGTCTATCAGTAGGCCCTGGTGACTGTGCCTGATTCCCTATTCCTTGAATTTGTGGGAAAATGTGTTTTTCTCTCTAATACAATTGATATTGACATTATTATTATTATTATTGATTTTATGGTTATTAGATTATTAGAATAGAAATAACATTAAAGATAATAAGATAAACAGAAGAAGCTTTCAGAAAATCATGGAAAAGGGTAGACAGATGGAATATTGTGGGGGGTATATTCCACCTCTCCTTGGTGACTAAGAATTTGTAGAGCCATATGTATGTGTAAAGACAATTGATAAACTTTTGTTACAGTGGGCATGGCAATGTAGTCTTGCCATCTGTGCCGATTGAGTTAAGAACATTAATAGGGGATTTCAGACTATAGTTCTTTGCTCATCTTAGGATTGCAACAAGGTAAAAATGAAGATGGGAATTTCCCCCATTTTCAAAATAAAGCTAAGAAGAAGCATTAAAGTGAGAAGCCCTCAGTATATTTGTGTGTTTTCCTGATCTTCCCATTGTTGCCTTGTTTACAAAACGATGCATGTTATTTGAGACCAGATTTAGAGTGAATTATTTACTTGCAGATGGCTGTTACTTTAACCAAGGATCTGGATATTAAGAACCAATTGCTGGAGGATGAGGTCAGTAAACTTGAAAAGGAATGTGCCCAACTCCAAAAAGAATGCCAGCATACATCCAGGACTCTTCAAAACTGGTCTGAGGACCACATGGATTACATCAATGCCCAGGAGATGCAGGTTAATGAATTCTTCACGGAGAAGATGGTTAAGGATTTACCAACTGGTAAGGAAGTGGCATCATCGTTACTATCATTAGTTGCTTCATGTAATTATCCATGTAATTATCCATCATTAAATAGAGATCTGATAAAACTCATTTGTTTTTCCAGGCGAGACACCAGTGCGCAAGGACTACCCATACTCAAAGTTCCTGTCTTCCACCTCTCCACATGAGAGACTAATTGAGAGATACAGAAGTGGCACTGTCTCCACAATGTCTAAGATCCCCCTGCCCAACTTTGAAGATACAGAGGTATGGGGTGCTTGTGTCCTTCTGCAGTAGTTTGATAAGGCTGTTCACTAGCATTTATATTGTTATGGTTGTTTTTTTATTTATATATTTTATATTTTCCTACCTTTGGATATAAGTAATGTGTAAATTAAGTATTTTGCTACTTGTGCAGTTGCACTAAGAACTATTTAAATGGTTAAATAAAACATGTAGATTGATAGATGTATAGATAGATAGATGTATAGAAAGATAGATGTATAGAAAGATAGATGTATAGAAAGATAGATGTATAGAAAGATAGATGTATAGAAAGATAGATGTATAGAAAGATAGATGTATAGATAGATAGATGTATAGATAGATAGATGTATAGATAGATAGATGTATAGATAGACAGATGTATAGATAGACAGATGTATAGAGAGATAGATGTATATATATATATATATATATATATATATATATATATATATATATATATATATATATATATATATATTCATACATAAACATTCAGTGTAAAATCCTTAAACAAGTAAGTAATGCTATCAAGTTTTAGATACACCACTATATTAACTAATCTCCTCTTATCTAAAACAAAATTTACAGGACGAAATGGGTTCCTCATCAGCTGACAATTCCCAGTTGTCCCCATCTGATTCCTCACAACTAGAAGATGATGTGATGGAGGTCAGGACACGCTCTGGTTCCAACTCTGGCATGCGCTCACGATCCGGTTCTGCCAGCTCCTACAAGGTATGTTCTGCTCAATTTACCATGGGGCATTAATTTAGTTTTTGTTTAACGAGTTAGACTTAAAATCATATTTATTTTCGTAGCAGTGTGATATGTGCATACTATTGCTGGATAGGCCACGGGGGGTGGGGGGTATATTTCACTTATTCTCTTAAGTTCACTCCCATAGTGAAACTAGATATTTTAGCCCAACCACCAAAGATTTATATTCTGTCCCCTGCAGTTTTTTGTGAATTTTGTTACATATAGATGGCTCCACATGTTCTCAGCCTGCAAGGAGTTTATCAGTAGGCCCTAGTGACCGATTCTGATTTCCCCATTCCTTGAATTGGTGGGAAATTGTGTTCTTCTTTTTAATAATACTGTTATTATTGTTATTGATGTTATGATTATTAAATTGTTAATAAAATCTTGGTAACATTTGATTAAACAATACACAGGACCCTCTCCCAAAGTCAGGGAGAAGGGTAGACAGGTAAGATAGGTAGGACTCATAACTGACTCCTTGGTGATTAAGCACTTGTAGAGCCATCTATGTGTAAATACAATAAATAAACTTATATTGCAATGGGCATGGCATGTATTCTTGCCATATGTGCCAGTTGGGTTAAACCATTTTTATTTCAGTGTAGTCACTGGACATACATATTTACACTGTATGTGTATCTTTCAGGGTGACAAAGGAGTATTTGTAGCTCCAGCACCACCTCTTCAGCGACAGGACAGCAGAGATGATTCAGGCATTCCACTCTCAAGGTCCTCCTCATCTTCATCCATTCCTGAATCAAAGGTAAAGATTCCAAGTACTTATAAAAAAAATATTTCCAAACCGATTAAACCTGAAAGTAAATTTTGTTCTGGAAGACCATGTTTCTAAGACATCTCCCATTGTAGGACAAGGAGAACACCGTCACACGACGGGGGAGCTCCAAGAAGAGAGAGCTGAGGCAACCAGGAACTTACACCGGTTTAGAAAAGAGCGGCAGCAGTGACAGCCTCTCCAGAAACCGAAGAATATTAGGCACTCAGAACTGAGGCGCAAAACATGACACAAGAAAAATGTCTCCATAATATCTTCCAAAAGAAGTATAGAATGTTCATACATAAGCCAAAGATTCTTGAAAATATTTAATGATAATAACCAACTTTTAGGTTGCTTTGACTAATCATATGATCATCGTCATAAAGAGTTTGAAATATTTGAGTGATTAACTTCAAATTGTACAAAGTAGATTTCCCAATGCACATGATCATTGATTAATACATGTATGA